CAAACTGGATAAATTTCAAGGACAGGGGCGTCCTACCTTCCCTAATTTTTTAAGTATTATTCTTATTTGTATACAGGGTGTAACTTTAGCGGAGGTCAGTTTTTTTAGGGGTAATAGTAGGTGCTCGTACGTATTCCCCTGAACACGAATGTGAAATTATTGTTTTTTTAATCAGATAAATGATCGAGTCATAATTAGTTTTTTAAAATGCACTTTAATTCTTGTGTATAGTTTTTTCGAAGTCAATTGAATAACCTATAATTTCAAGGTATGTATCAGGCTCGGTCGCTAAACAACAACTCGGCATTGAAATATTTGAAAAACTCGTTCTCATATTTATTTAGCCATACCCATATATAGGTCTGGTAGAACTAAACATAGAAATATATACGACCAGTTGAAGAATGCGATCGCGGCCAAAGGAAAACGAGCACAGTTTTATTGGGTTTCTGGGCAATAAATCACAGCAGGCGACAAGTGGTTTATAAATTGCCCAGCAGTGCAGTGCACCAGTGCGGAATTTGGTATGAATCAAGCAATTTTAATTTATTATAGGTACCTTCTATCAATCATTCATATTAAAATTGCGAAAGGGAGAAATAAGAGGGATATTTTGTTTACTAATATTATTACAACATGGCATTTTGGAAACCTTTTGAAACGGAACAAAACAAAATTTACCACCAATATAATAAAATTGTTTGAGGACATAAATAATTAAAATATGTTGTTGGCCAAATGAACATATAATAGAAATTCTCTACACATTATATACAAATTATTATAATTGTTTACCTTCAGCAGAAAATTTTTTTAGGGACGCCGATGAAACTCGTTACCAGACGTTGTTTTGCATATTCAACTGACTTCGGAAGGACTATACGCCACTGAGCGGTGTAAACCGAGGCATCCGGAATTGTCTGTTAAGTTGTATTAGTGCACTATCAACATTGCCAGTTCTTTTTAAATCAGTCTACATTGTGGGCTGTGACAATGAAAAATAATTTAGTAAATCAGATTTTATATGTATAACTTAGCAAGGTGTTATTTTAAAGTCACCATATTTTTTGATCACTCTGATGGAACATTAAAAACAAAACATTCAGTCGTTTTTAAAAAAAAACAAAATTTTTTACATGATTTATTAATTTTATTAACTAATATTGGTACAGAGATACGTTACTAATTGTAAATATGTATATTTTTTATTCAATTGTTAGACAACAAAACTAATTAAGAATAATGTCGTGAAAATAGATGAATTTAATATTACAACGACTTGTTTTTAAAGACATTATGTATTTATTTGTTAATATAGACGAAGTGTCGAGCACTAAAAACCCGCTGTTCTATTGCGGTATGTCTTTGAAGGCGCGGAAGAGTCGACTGTTCTCGCACCTGGTTAAAACAGGAATGGCCGAAAACTGCATATATCAGTTGGTTACCTATTTGTTTAGTCTTATACTTTATCTGTTTGGCGATTTATGTGTATAATCTTATAAAGTTATTTACTTCAGTGTTCAGTGACGATACAGTGAAATTTTGTGTTTTAGTACATTATAAAAAAGCATGTATACGAATCAAGAATTGATATGATTAGAGCCTACATTTTGTCAGGAGCAAAGAAAATGATTTCAGATAGATTACGCCTACTTATTAACCGAATAAGAAAATATTTGTCAGATTGGTTCAACATTTAGAAGACTGTGGACACCAGTACTCGAAGATTTGCCATACAATCTTAAGTGTTATGTTATAAAAATCACGTGAGTAAACAGATTATTTACTTTGCGTATTTCATTTATCATTATTGATTACTGCTTAAGTTTGCTGCCAGGTTACTTGTTAAATACTGTTTCATAGTTTATCTTATTTAAAAGAATTAAACTTTAGTTTTTCTGGGATGATAGAGCTCATGGTGAACACCCACTCAACAAAAGCAATGTGCCAAACCTCACGGCGAGTGATATGAAAATTTGATTTTTAATACCTCACTTTTCCTTTAAAAATAAGATTTGACAACAATGCACAGCCCAGCTGTGCATGCTCTGTGATTAAAGCGCGCCGTAGTTTGAAGTTACGCTAACTGGTTCAGCAGCGGGGTAAGAAAATTACGAAAAAAGGATAAAAAACTTAGAAACGAAAGTACTTCCACATAAAATCCCTGAGACCTTGTTCGCAGTATAAATGACAACAGAGATACAGAGATAAGAGAGTCGCCATGTAATTATTAACTCCTAAGTTGGACTTGTTGTTTAACTATTGTATCATAAAATAACAATAATAATAAAAAATAACGAGATACAATCGCGTCCGACGGTTGGATATCGGCTGGATTTTCACCTGTACCTGCTAAGTCAGGAGTGGGTTTTGAAGCAGTTCAAACTATTGCAAGTGTCAGGTACGAAAAAGCATGTGCTGTATAGTCTTTCCGAAGTTAGTTAAACATGTATAAATACGCCTAGCAATAAAATTTAATAAGTTTCATATGCGTCCCCAAACAAGTTTTCTGCTAAAGGTAAAAAATTATAATAATTTGTAAATGACGTGTAGAAAATTCTATTGTATGTATGTTCATTTGGCCAACAACATATTTTAATCATTTATGTCCTCAATTTTATTTTATTGATGCTAAAATTATCTGAATCACCAAATTCCGCATTGCTGCACTGCACTGCTAGGCAATTTGTCAACCACTTGTCAATAGATGAGATTTATTGCCCAGTCGCCCAGTTCGGCTGTCTGTGTACGCCGTTTGCCCGTGCGTGCATTCAACTGGGCGTACTTATACATTTCTACCACCTCCATGTTTAGTTCGACCATATGGATATGGCTAAATAAATATGGGAACAAGTTTTTAAAATATTCCAATGCCGAGTTGCTGCGTCAGCGACCGAACCTGGTACATACTGTCAACTTTTTGGTTCTTCAATTGAGATCGGATAGAGTATACGAATACTGCGTTTCCGAGTTATCGATCTTTGCAGTTAGTCCAAAGCTGGTTGAGTACGAGTGGAAGCAGTATTAGTCCATTCGGATCAGCGAGAATAGTTGCGATACAGTGGATAGTTGTTATAAATAACAAATTTTCTGATTTTCATTTTGATGCACGTGTAGAATGTGACGGAATGTACTGGACTATAGTAGGATCATATTCGATGCAAAGTAATAAATCATTGCCTGTCAAGGGATCCAGTGCAATGCGGTTTTAAGGGGATTAGAAATTGAATAATTTCTTTATGCATTATGAAAGGATAAAGGGATCAGTTCACGTCTGGCACCCCTGTTCCTACAAAAATTCCTTTGTTCTCATAAACTATTTATTTTAAATGTAGTTTATTATAAATCCAATTTGTATTTTAAATTCCACATATGTCCTACATTTTACCTCTGTACGCGCCATTGCTGTTTACTTGTTTTTTGGAGGCAGTCTCTGATTTATGACCAAGCTTACCAGGTTAGTATTTGACGTATAACCGACCCCCTCGTACACTCGATGCACCTGGACGACTACAGCTAATACCAGAACGCAGTGCGTATGCAGCGGTATTTCATTTTAAATTTGAAATGGTTCATCTTACGCCTCCTAAAAATGATGACACGATTTTCCTTTGATAAAAGACCGATAATTGTTTGCTCTACTTTGCATCGAATGAGATTCTACTATAGAAGCGGAAGCTGCATCTTTAAACATTATCTTTATGATTAGAATAAGCTCTTAATATTGTTGCCCTTTATTTATGACGATCCTGTATATAAAACAGAAAAATTGGCCAACAAGGACAAAAGAGTAGAATTAGGTATACATTAATAATAAGTATATTTTTTTATTCCCTTGCTCGAAATGCACGCCACTGTTCAAAGTGTTTTTCTTAAATCGTAACATAAATAAAAGAAAAACTTGCAATACTATCCTGCGAGTAAATATGTTTTGCAAAATAGGACGCTTTTAATTCTTTTTTTAAATATAAACACGGATTTATTAATACTTTTACCGAAACTTTAGCGGTCGTCATAGGTAGCTGTGCTTAATTTAAAAAAAGCGCGGCGGTCCGCACTTAAATACCCGGTAAATTAGTGTAAAAATCTAATTTTCTCATCAAATTAAGATTTTTTGCTCGACACCAGGTACACACTCTTCGTATCTAACATGATAGGACGTAAAATTAGATCATAAGCTAGACTGTTTTTACGTACAAAGTAATATTGAATATTTAATAGACGCTGCTCGTTTGGTTTATTAAAAAGTATCCTCATTAAAAATGCATTGGACGGTGTCAGAGTGGTCGGTGCTCAATTAAAAATTAATTAACAATTATTAAAAAAAAATCCCGCGTAGAAAGGTCGCCAACCCCTCAGGTTTTGCGCTGTCACCATTTTTATACTTGATTTAAAGTTAGTTGATCAAAAATACACTTTTTCGTAGGGACAAAACTAAGGTATGTACCTTCATGATAAAAAAATCGATGTTGATTTGCGAAAAATTGTTCAACTGAATGGAATATCACTCCCATGAAAATTTATCCGAGTTTTGAAGTAATTCAACTAAGCTAATAAATGTTTACTGAGTGTTGGTTTCGGTGATTCTAACCCACGGATACTATCTGCGGTTTGCCAAGGTCTAACATATTCAAAGCACAAATCGTCAACCATCCAATCACCAGTTTTAAGTCCAACTATTTTAGGTAATAATTATAATATCTTACTATCCTGACACTGCAATAATCATTCTATTTTGATTTGTATTAACATAATCATTGAAATAAATCAATTTATTGATTAATTACAGGTAACATTAATTGACGTTATAAATTAAATACTGAACTAGTAGGACATTAAACGTATAAGGCACCACGGGTGTTAAAGGATAATAATGCTCTCGCTTGCCGTATATAGCATATAAAATATAAGTATAAACAATTTCTACTTTATTTCAGTTGTTTCGAAAAGACATTTTATTATGAAACACAGTACTCTCTCAGAAAAAAACTTACCTTCGCCGTCGCATTCTCCGCCTTTGCCCCTGAGGAGTCTCGAGATAGCCGAAACGCTGGGGGCGGTGCTCCTATCACAGATTCCCTCTTTCACCAATCTGTCTCTGATTTCCCAACTGAAGATCGACGGATTTTCGCGCTTGTATTGTTCTATACGACTCTCCACCTCAGGCGTCGCGACGCGAGGTTTGGATCCGCCAATCACGCCCGGCCTGATGGATCCCGTCTCCTAAAACAAAAGGAAGTGGTAAGTTTTACGTTTCGTCAAGTCGGAAATGTGTTTTTGTGACAGTGACATAATTATCCCACTTCTGATCCGGTGTGCAACAGCTTCTGATTTGCCATTGTATTGCAAATTTTTAAACATATGAACGTTGCAGAACCATTTTAGGGGGTCACGACTGCGTTTCGTAAAGTAAAAATTACAAAAGCCTTTAAAAAATCCGCGTTTTTCGCAAAAAGTTTTGCTCACGTTTCCAGCGTCCCATGAAAATTTTAATGGGTATTGCGATATATCACTTAATCACTGTTTTTATTGGCAATAAATGAGTTCTAACGTAATATTCCTGTACGGATCATAAATATTTTAATGGCGCAAAACACCGTGTGTTACGGTAGCATAAAATTAAACTTAGTTGGTTTTTTGTTTCTGTTCGCCTTTTTCAATTACGTGTGGAACACCTGGCCTCGCTGGCTGACAAGTACATGCGTTCCTTATTACGTACTTTCCTCAGATCGAATTCATAACTTAACTGTATTTTAAACCGCTTTAAAAAAGAAATTTGGAATACTATACAGAATTTGTGTACAAGTTTGTATGAAAATAAAGGTTTAAAACACTTTTTTGTAATATATATGTTATATATTGATGATGAAAGTACATTTTTTAATTCCGAGAGGTCAGTGTAAACAGTCACTCAGAGGTCAAACAGTACTTTATATGGAATTAAAAGTGCTGTTAATTCCCAAAGGACCATATTTTACTTTTAATTCGTCTATCAAAAATAAACTAAAAAACTAAATTCTTTAAATCGTTACTATATTAATTGTATCACTACTAAAGTGTATATATCTTATTACAAAGATCTCAGTAACCCTTGGGCTTAGAACATGCACCTTAGTTCCTTATTATACAGTACTTGAAAATATTTTAAATATTTTCTCAAATTATTAAATATATTGGCTTGACGTACGCCAGATTTTACTCGGTTGTAAAATTACCATAATTTAAATTTTTACAGTTTTAGTAGAAGAACTGAGTAGAGATATTAAAAGTTGACCCTTATTCCCTATGTATTAAAATAGCACTTTTAACCACTAAGTGCAAAAAACTGTTTTCTAATATCTATTTAAATTGAATAGATGTATTACAAGCGACACTTATTCCCCGAAACTGCGGATTAAATTGGCACTTTTAAGTACAAAAAAGTGCCTTTTAGTTCCTTGGGTACTCATTGAAATGAACGGGGGTGTCAAAAGTGACATTTACTCCCTGAAACTACATATTAAAACAGCACTTTTAATCCACTGAGTGAAATGAAATTGAGTTTAAATTGATTTTGTTTAAATTGCTGTTGATTAAGAAATCGAATAGATATATTAAAAGTGGCACTTATTCCTCAAAACCACGGATTAAAACAGCACTTTTAATCCACTGACTGAAATGAAATTGAGTTTAAATTGATTTTGTTTAAATTGATTTTGATTTCGGAATCGAATAGATATATTAAAAGGGGCACTTATTCCTCAAAACCACGGATTAAAACAGCACTTTAATCCACTAAGTGCAAAAAGTACTCCTTAATTTTTCGGGTTTAAACTGAATGTGTAAATCTTTGTTTTTCTTCGATTCAGGCATTTAATAAAGATATTGAAAGTTACACTTTAGTCTCTGAAAGCTGAGATGAAAGCGACACTTTTAATCAACTGACAGAAGAGGATGTCTTTTGTCAGGTTATCGTCCCGTATTAAATTGAATTTGTAAGGAATGATTGGAAGTTTTAAAAGTGACACTTACTTACTGGTTAAAATACCACTTTTAACCCACTAAGTGCAAACAAATGTCTTTTGATTTTGGATCTTTGTTTTTTATTAATAATTGAATAGACATTAAAAGTGACACTTGACTCTCTTTTAAAATGAATTAGACTACTTATTTACTACCCCTTTTAGATACAACTTATCACTTCACCCCTGTATCGAGGGCACGAATTAAAAAGTTCTTATCAAGTAAGCGGGGTTTAAAGGTAGTTTTTTTACGATCGTTACGTACCTGGTACCTGTTGAGGATCTTGCTGACGCACCCGTGCGACACCCTGAGCTGTCTCGAGATGACGCAGGGCCGGACTCCGGCGGCGGCCATCTCCACTATCTTCAGCCTTATGTGGTTGGGCAGTGGTCTGCCGTTAATGAACACACCCCCTAGTTGGTTAACGCGTCCTTGTCCTGAAAAAACGCACACAGTTAAACCTAGACATCGAAACTGTTTTATTTATTTTTTTTGTTTGTTCGGTCGAGTTCAATGCCGCGCCGCCTTTTGTGAGGAGTTCAGGAGCGTAGGCGAGAGGTTTATTAAAGGGGATCGTCGCGTAAGCCAGCAAAGTACAGAGTCAAAGGGATAAGCCTCGTGGCACCGCGCCGGACCACTGTGACGTCAGGCGTTCAACCGTCAGGCCTTATCACGACACCGTTTTGTTCTAATTTGTACTGAAACAATTGACAAAGTTTCTGTTACTAAAAATGGCAGTATCATGAGCATAATTAAATGAATTAGGACCTAGCAGTGAAGTAAAAAAAAGCGTTCACTTCAATGGTTTAAATTTAATTTAAAATGAAACACGATTTTGCGATGTTTGCTGTTATACTGCTTCACATAAAGGTCATTTTAGAAAAATTTTAATCGTACTATAAATAAGAAAAGAGATTTTTTTGGAAATTTGTGCAGTTTAGTATTCCTTAAAGCAGATTTTGTTTGTATTTCAGAAATTTCAATAATCCATGTTTAATCCTGAAAATAATTATAACGTTTTGATTGATGATTTTGTGGGAAACACTACTCTGCGGACTATAGCCCAGCATAGACTGGTTTTGTACCTATCAGTACGCCACGCCGTAGATAAAATGAACGATTTAGCTGTTCAGATGTCTGTCTACTGTCATGTTTAGAGTATGAGTGAGATATAAACCTATAATAAAGGGTTTGTCATGTCTTAATTGTTAATGCTGCCCAGTGCCTAGGCGAAATAATCTTTTAATTAGCGGTATTGTTCAGAACAACTACTCTGCCGACGAATGATCTTAGCTATTTACTAGATATTGAGTGGCAATTCAATGCTGGACGGGCATAACCCTCAGGGTAATTGTTGCAACAATATCAATAGTTAAAAATTTTATTTTGTTTAGTGTCAAGCTCAGATACTCGCCACCGTATTGTAATTTTTTTATAGGGATGTAAATATGTTTTTTTATTATTACCCACTTTAAAGGTTACTTTTTGAAAAAGAATTAAAATGTTAAAAAAATTATTCCGTTCAAACAGTTTTTGGGAGAATATAATATTTTTTGGTTGTGTTTTTGAACCGAAGGGGAAGTTTTCAAGTTCGCCGCCTCCGTACCGATCCGTGGGGCGCGCCGCTGCCCCCTTTTGTGAAATCCGATAGCGTAAAAAATAAATTGTTTCAGGTTGGGTAATTAAAACATCATTAAGTCGGAATTGTGTTATTTAAAGGCTCATAACTCAATTCCAAAGCGCCGCGGGTACATTTTTTCCGTCGGTACGGGCTACCGTACTTAATTATATTTGTTTAATGAAAATCCGAATACGGATTTTAATGGAACGGCGGCGTTGCATAACTTTTTTTTTCGTTCCGTTACATATATCGAACAAACTGGGTTCCATACACGTAATTTTTTTTCGAGCGTTCGCCCGCTGTTCGACGCGAGCAAGGTCGCACGGTGAGGAAAAAAACGACTACGCGTTCAGCGTCGCCTTCTAGATCGGTATCTGTATGTCGATAATAATCTTTTATCCGTCTTGATCGGGCAAAAATGCAGTGAGAGTAAATTCCGGAGGCTTTACACGTCGCTTTATCATTTTTGAAGTCGCAGTTTTTTGTGTCGAGAAAGAGAAAGAAAATGCTTATTTTTTATCTGTCTCACAGTGAAAGTATCTATGAATAATAGCTGTTTAATAAACAGTTTTTTGCCAAGGTAAAATGCTCCAGTAAAATTTTGTATACACGTTTTTGTAACCTCAGAGCTAGGTGTTTCGAAAAACATCTTCAGGATTACCCTGAAATTTAGTTCTTTCTGCGCTAAATTTATAGAAAATCATCATCATCATGGACTCTCTGTAACTTTACATATTTTTAATTGAATCTTCTAAAACGCATTGTTTGTCAAATTCTATAACCTATGTCTCTAGATGTTAATTTAAAATAATTATTAATTACAATAAATACAGTAATGAATGATCCTTCAAATCCATGTTTTTTAATCAAAACAAAACATTTTTGGCTCAAGATTATATTTAAATGATTAGTGTTCAAAAAACTGGTAGGTCAAAACTATAGTTTATAAACTACAAATTTTCATTTTAAACTCACAAATACACGATATTTTTTTATTAAAACATCTGTTCAGAAATTGTTCTCGTTGTTTGCACAATTGAAAAATGTGTCCTTTGCTTTATTTTAGACTTTTTTAGTGTTTATTGCATAGTAGGCTTCGCGTCGAATAATACAGTTTTGTTATTTTATTTAACCTTTGGAGCAAGGTAGAAAAGTGGGTACAAGTATAAAATTATGGCACAACCATAAAACCATGGCCTACTATAAATCAGAAATAGTTTATATTTAGACCTACTTTCATTGGTTGTAAAGTAATAAAGTTCATTTTTGTTCGTGTTTCCTTGGAACGATTCTAAAAATTTGAACAAAAAATATCGTATTTTTGAGAATAAGACTATGAATTAACATTTTTTGATAGAGAATTGACATAAACAATTTTACAAAGCTGTCAAAAAGAAAAGCTAGGTAATAATTTGTTTTAAAATTTCAGATATTAAAGAAGTCAGTATTCTTGTGTTGGGGTATACAAAATACTATTGAAAACGTGAAATTGTATGTTTCTATAATATTTGTTGAGACAGAATTCAAATAGATGAATAAGCCAATAAAGTTCTGTTATCGGAACTACTGTAACAATTTACCACAGCAGGGGCGTGCCTTGAAATTTTCCGCGTTATTTTCAGAGTATTAAAATAGGTATATGTAAGGTAAATATATATAAAGTAGAGTTTTTGGATTAAAACATGTTTTTACAATACAGTAGAGTACAAATCATAAATAAATTAGAACATAATACAATTATTCAAGCAGTTTTGATGTAAATTAGTGAATAATGACTGTTTTACTGTTTTTTTTAAGTTTACATCAATAAAATTCAAAATCATCCCCAACTAAATGTTAAAGAAACAATATTGATAAGTAGATGTATATCTTAACCAATAAATCTAAAAATAGACTGCTAAATTGACTAAAAATTTTAGATATTACGTATACCTAGATCATACAAAACGTTTCAAAAATAATCCTCCAAAAAAAATTAATGTGATAGTCTGAAAATTTCTTTTGAATCTTCTTTAAACTTCACTGTTCACTTGAACTTATATAGAGTACATTTTTACGTAGAAATAGTTTAAATTACTGTCAAAATATTGACAAGGAATATTGATGAATATTGACACCGTGTATACTTAGATTGCAGTTTAGAAGCGACCCTTTCAAGAAACACTTCTATCTCTATTTAAGAGTATCTAGTACAGCAATTTTAAAAATAAAAGCCATATTTTTCAAACTGAACTTCAAAGAAAACGGAAATACTCCCTCAAATGGCTTTCTGTCAAGCTATGACATTTAAAAAGAGTCTTGAGACTGTTTTTGTACAATCGTCTTTGCAAGATTCACGTAGTTTGCTTTGTACGTTTTTTCCTTTAATTGTACTTTATCTTTTATTATATATTAAGTATATATTTTCGAACTTCTTTTTAATATTTTGTCTTTATTATAATGTTGTGTGACAGTACTGCTCAAAATCTCTTCCTATAAATTGACATCCATCTCTCGAAGGAATAACGATTATAAATTATTACTATTACGATCTTTTCTTTAATTGGGAGCTAAGAAACGACAAAAACTACCTTGAAATGGGTATCCAGAAAAGCAAGGCCTGTGCATTATTCCAAAATTGCCCGTAACAGTCATCGCGCTCCTCGAGAGTCTTATGGGGAAGGCAACACTGTATCAGACCGACATAAAACACACGCGATTACCACCCAAGAGGAGAAACGGCGTCGGCGACGCACTATTTGGCACTGGGATCACACCCGTACGGTCCAAATCTGGTCCCTGGGGAACGCCAGAACTGGTTGTCCAAGAGAGAGAGAGAGAGAAAAAAATTGCTGTCGCAGAAGAGACTGTGACGCTGCTCGCTCCACGGAGGGAAACAAGGAACTAGCTCAAAATATTATGACTGGCGTCGGTGTCGGATGGTGATTGGCCCCGCCCCCTTGCCTACTCGGCTACACCCCTGGGCTTAGCTGGTCAGGCCCAGTCCGTGCCATGGTATTATTTAAAAAGAGTGGTGTTTGGGAAATTGGCAGGTGGGAGTGGGTTCTGGTGTGGATCGGACTTCATTCATTGCGTCGAATTGTTGGCAGTACTGAGGCATGTCATGTCATGTCATTATTGACATTAGGCGTTTGCATGGTCTACATTTTATAGTTATTCTTCCTTTTTGAAAACTGGATAGATTGCATACGTAGATGCATAAGATTTTTAGGAAACAATTTTTGGCATTTATACGAATTAACATAATTCCTTACAATAAAGTATAAATTACCATCGTATTTTGCCAGTGGTCAAGTCGCAAATGAAAATATCCTCGAAAAGAATTAGATATTAAGAAAAATTCAATTTATAGATTCTCTTTTTCTTCTATTCTCCTTCTTCTATTCTTGATAATATGGACGTTAACTTTTCACTTCTTACTTTCCACTTTTTGGGCTATTTTCTGTTTTATGATTTTTATGGTTTGAAAAGTGAGAGCGAAAAATTGAAAAGTGAAGTGAAAAGTGGAGGGGTAAAGTTTTCTGTTTTTTTAAATAGTATTTACTTACTTTCCCCGTTTCAATTTTCAATTAGGTAGCGAAAAGTGAAGAGTAATTTAATTAATAACAAATCTACAATACTTTTCAAATCGTAGGTACTTTTCAAAAGAGCGTTGTGAAAAGTAAATAATGTAAACGTGGAATTCATCTATTAAATTGGCCAAGTTTTTTATTTACATCCTGTACATGTCTGTTTAAGAGAGAATGATTCATACACTCTTAAAAATTGGGGTAAAAATCCAATACATTTGTGAATTTACACTACAGTATTACATAACAAGTAAAGTAAAATTAAATATTCTTCGTAATAATAAAAATATTTATATTTTACTAAGAAAGTTATGTGTTTTTACTTTATAATCTCAATTTCAGTAAATTTACACCGTGCTATTACCACAGTTAAAAAATTTTACAATAAAAATGTATATTTCATTTGGTTATGTGATTTTACATTAAAGGGTAAGTATATTTACAGAAGATTTAATGTAGAAACAACAGCGCGTCTAGACTAGCAATGATGCAATTGGTCAGACAGACCACGCTGTGTAGTTGTAGTAGTGAGTTGTGCGTATATTGTGCGTTATACTTATAATTAGTGATCTTTCTTAAAAAAGATAAAGGTAAGATATTTAAACTAATTTATAATTTTAATAAATATGTGTGGAAGTAGTTTACTTTGTCATAACATTATTATTAGGTATAAATATTAATAATATGATGAGAAATAACCACTCTGCCTCGACCAGCATTGAATTACTTCCACAATATTTTACTCACATCTATTTCATTATTAGTTTTTTCTTCATTCTAAGGGTATTAAGCTAATTCTAATCAATTCATATAGTATGAAATAGTTCTTTGATAATAACTGATAATAAGCTGGATGCTGGATATGGTAAAGAAATAATTCCACAGACAAGGATGGAATCAGAAGCTATCTAAAATAACAATAATCTACGCAAATACACATGCCTGATATAATGAAATTATTAAATAACTTTCCTAATTACAAAATTTACTCTTAAACATTAGTACATAATTGTAGGATTATAGTGTAATACCTTTACAATAAAATAAATAGTTTATTTTGTAGTTTAGACTAGGAGTTATGAAACTATGTTTTATTCGTGTTTATTTTATACGAAAAAAGTTCTTTTCCTCGAAAAGATATGGATTACTGTAGGCAACTCTTAATTAAAAAAGCAATGTCTTAATTGTTAACAATTAACGATTTTATTGACTTGATAATGTGTACCAAAAAGTGGCTAGTTAAAATTTAACAATATTAAGAATTCTTAACCATTGATTTGATACTCATATACAGGGTCATTCATTGAGAATGGGCAATCTCTAAACTGGACCAACAACAAAGTTGGAATTTTAATTTCAAATTTCTCAATAATTTTGAAATTTTCAGCAGAATCAACTCGAAAATTGGTGATTTTATGTTTTTTGGCACGAGAATTACGAATTTGATGCTGAATTTGCCGCTATCTGTACAGGTATTACTCTCTGTTACTTCAGTAAATCAGAACACATTTTGGTGTGTAGTAACTCCTGTTTAGAGATTGCCCATTCTTAATGATATACTTATTCTTAATATTTAAACTAACTTAATAACTTTTTTAAGAGGTCCAATTCTAATATGTTTGGGTTAGCTCGGCTGACTTGGAGGTTACATTACATTATATTTTTTGCTTTTTGATTAAATTTAATTTCGGATAACAGATAGTCAAAGTTGTCCACAATAAACATTATTTTAACAAAAACTTTCAGAACTACTTTACTTAAACTTTACTTTACTTTACTTAAATCCAGCGCTACGGAGTTAAATAGCATATCCTACTGGAATTTAATAAATTTATACCTATTAACGAAGTTTAAATTTGAAGTTAACAATAAGTACTTTATTATTTAATATTTATGTACAATAGCATTGCTGTTAGTGACATTTTATGTGAAATGTGTGTATTAAAACTTATTAACTGTTAATTAATAACAAAAGTTTAGCCAGCGCACAGCTCACTTTTGAATTTTTCTGCACAAAATTACATTGATGGGAATTGATTTAAGTTAGTTTGACACCTTTACGAAAAAGTAAAAAAAAAGGTATGTATTATAATTTTGTAGTATGAAACTTAAATGTTACATTATTCTAAATTATATCTACGTAAAATTTTCAACTTACACCATATGCATTATTTAGTGAAAATACACTGCATTTCTACATGTAGGTGTAAAAATATCTCTAAGGCCCGGTACTTTGAGTCTTGGTTAAGGTTTGATTAACTAATCAAGCGATTAGATTGTTATTAATAAAATAAATCAGTATATGTAAAGTCTAATCAGTCTGATGAGTTAATCCAGCTTTAACCGAGACTCAAAGTACCGGGCCTAAATAATACAATTTTACTGTGTGAACCTAAAAAACACAAAATAGTTTTACAACACCATTGTAAAAATAGTGTGTAAAACAAAAATTTTACATATTAAAATTACAATTTTAAGTTGTAGAATTACAATTTTACATGATAACATTAATATTTTACAATGTAAAATTACAATTTTACAGAGTAAAATTACAATTTTACAAAGTAAAATTACAGTTTTACAAGGTAAAATTAAATTAGTACTTATTAAAATTGTAACATTATATATGTAAAATCACACAGTAATATATGTATGGATCTATTTAAAATTACGATGTGAATTCACAACTTTTTTGTAAATTTATATAAGCTCAGTAATATTCAGGCACGAATCATAGGTAACAGAATTGCCAATGATTAGTGCCGTAATTTTACGTTTTTCAAGTTTTACATTTTTTGCAGTGTACCTTCAAAATGTATTCTCTGGAGAATTTTTCCTTTTATAAGTTTCTCATCGCCTTCATTTTTAGACTTTTTATGATTCGTCAAACCAAAAATGTTCCAGCAAATTATTTTAAATGCAAGATAGCTACTACCGATTCCAATACTTAATGAAAAACCATTTAAATTGATTGATTGAAAAGTAAACACGATAATAATATAGGTACTATTTTTCCAAAAAATAGAAACTCAAGAAATTGGAAGATTTCTCCCAACTTTTTACTGTACACTTTTCTACTTTACAATTTTCAAAATGAATGTTCAAAAATCAATTTATATGTACATTGAGGATGCACAGTGAAAATTGACAAGTGAAAGCTTCATAAAACACATTTTTTATAAAATAGAATTACTCTTCACTTTTCTAGTTAGTTGGATTAAAAATAAGTAATGAAAAGTTAAAAAGTACTTTCAAAAAACAGTCGCCTGGTACTTAACCTAAGATGTACTAATCTAAACATACAAAACAAGAAAAAAAAACAGATAAAAAAAAGAAAAACAGAAAAAAGGACATACTTAAGGACAGATTCATAAGTCAGTTACGCTAAGCTAATTGACCAATAACAGCATCAGTACTCAAACAAGATCTTAAATTTTTAACAAAAACTTTAGACGTATCACTATATACAATCACAGTTATTCTGCAGTAAGTTATATATTTTACGCACATGTTGATTAATGGTGATCGTAATTGATAATTTGTTCTAACAATCTCACAATGAAACGTGCGATATTGCCTTGTTTTTTGACAGGGGATAGATATGATATATTAATTTTACCTAGCAATACTTCATCTGTAATGTTGTTTACATGCAAGTTTATATAAATACTCGTAAAGTAGGTAGTTGTTGAAAGGAACGCCTATTATGTAAAGTTAATAAATTGTTATTAATTAAATTTTGATGATAATTGTGACCTCTGCTATACTGCCCAGTAGTTATACAGTAGCGTGTTTAATAAATCTTTTTTGTACATTTTCAATTAACTGAATATATTTGGCATAATATGGGTTCCATATCACTCAGCAGTATTCCAGCTTTGGCCTGACATAGCAATTGAAGAGCGATATTAAAGTTTTCATCGACGTGAAATTTTGCGAGTTTCTTATGATAAACCCTAAATTTTTTACTGCCTGATTAGCAATACCAATAACATGTTTATTGAAGGATAATTTCGAATCAAATAGTACGCCCAGATCCCTTGCCTCCTCAACCGCCTGCAGATA